TCAACTCTGGCTCACAACAGCCGAAATGCTTTCCTTTCTTAACCTGTGATTTAAAAATATAATTTGCTTACTTTATCGTTGTAAATCTTTTAACGCTGTTGGTTTTACAGCTGGAGATCAAAAATCGAACGAGAGAGTTAAACTTTCTTCTGAGGTGAGTCGGCTTGATCTCAGAAAAGGAGTGAAAATAGCCGGACGAAGATGATCGGAAACGTCCAAAGTACTGATTCTCTCAGAATGAAATTAAAGAATTTCACTATTTAATCTCATCGGTTAATCGGCGTGCTGAGCCGTTTTTACCAGCCCATTGCGGTCGATAGCGGCTTCCGAATATTTATCAGCGTTGCCCTTTGTCGGCGGAGATAACATCTCCACCTGTCAGCGGCTACCGACTTATTGGTAATTGGCCATAAAAACAAGCGTGGTATTCTGGTCTGCGTGCCGGCCACCTCTGCGGATGCAATTTTTCAATCATGATAACGTCCTCCGTTTCATTTCTTCAAACACCACATTACGCCTAAATCCGCATTTCTTCTTGCTTCCTTAAGACCATTAACCAAGACTAAAAAAAATAAAAAAAATGATTTGTTATTTGTTTAAGAAATCCTTTAGTCTATTCTGCATCTAACATGTTCTTTTTAACTTTTATTGATTTTTGTTTCTACAAAACAATTATGATAGGGCGAACTGTAAGAACAAAACTGATGATGTAAAAAACATGTGAGAAGAACGCACTCAGTGGCTAGCTTCCTATATTGAGCAAATCCCCGAGATTAAAGGGTCCAAAATCTTGGGGTTTCTGAACAGGTCCAAGAGGTTTATGCAGCCGACCAAGTCCCGGACTTTTTAGGGATGGGGTACGAGTCTACCCAGGCATTTAACCCCTCGGGTTTTGGTCGCCCACCCTCCATAATATATATATTATATACAGGGTGAATTGCTACTCGTGCTACAAACTTCTCCAGTAGATTCTTCCCCCTAAAATGAACAAAAAAGTTCATATTGTCCATGGTCCGATTCTCAACCATTTCAGAGTAATTTTGCTTTTTATCGATTTTGAAAGATATCACGTCCTGGCGTCGGAAAATCGTGATATCTTTTAATCTAAACATTTCTCTGAAAATCTAATAGCACCGTTGAAATTCCCGTTAATTTTTCAATAAGAAGATGAAGGTGGCAAAACGTTTGGGTCTTTCTTCCTTGACCTTCTAGCTGTTTGTAAACTTCTTAAGCATTACATACTAAATGGGCATTAAATTAAATTAAAAAATTTCAATGGAATTATGATTTTGATTCTCTCTAAAAATTAACGGGGATTTCAACGGTGCTTATAGATTTTAAGCACTACAACTTTATAGGATAGGGGATGTGTATCTACCATAAATGAGAGTATAAGGATAGGTCAGAAATTAACAAAAGAAACGTATTTGTTTGATTTAATTAATGCGTATTTAAGAATAAAAATACGTGTAAACAAAAAACAGCTGTTAAATTCATAGCTGCCATGTTGTTACCTACGCCCTAACGGATATCAATGTGACTACATTTTCGACCTAACATCTAATAACGGCCCTGGCCTGTTGGATCGTTAATAATGTTAACAATATTAACTAGCCGATTCTTACAAGTCTACGTCATCATTTTTCTTGATCTAACAGGTCGTAACAGAGTTAATACGTATATGTGGTGATTAGTGACCGTTAATCGATATTTATTTAGAAATCGTGTGATGCGGTCTGGTGTGGTGTAGGTCTCAGAAAAACCTTTTCTTTATCCTGCCAAAGTTTCGATCTTTATTGAGATCATCTTCAGGGCTCAAAGTGTTTGTCTTTTGTGTAATTGTGCCATTCTTGCGTGTCCTGGGCACTCTCTCTCTCTCTCTCTCTCTCTCTCTCTCTCTCTCTCTCAAAAAAAAAAAAAAAAAAAAAAAATTGAAAAAATGAGTGCAAATCATAAGAATTTGTTTCGAGTTCGAGGAGAAATGTGAACATCTAAAAAAAAGGTCTTAGTTGTAATGAAAAAGTTAGTGTCACGAGCGGGATTCGAACCCACGACCTGGCTCAGTACGCTGCTGCTCTAACCACTTGTGCTATCGTTCCAAGTCCTAAGATAAAAAAATAATTAATTGAAATAATTAATCCGGTTAATTATATTCGTTAAACATATATGATTTTAAAAAAGTTTGATGTGCTGCAAAAATGAGTCAACGGGGAGCAGCCAATCGTTTACAGGTATCACAAACACTATAGCAGAAAATTTTAAAAAATACGTTTGAAATTGAAGGTGGTGTTGGCAATAAGAACAATGATAGAACGATGGAACAGATGGTGATGCAGAAGTCGCATTAAAAGAGTGGTTTGTCACAGTAAGGTCGAAAAATGCTAAAGTAAATGGGCCCCTGCTGAAGCAGAAAGCTGTGGAATTGCTACCAAATTGGGTAAGAAATACTTCGTTGCGACTAGTGGTTGGCTGTACCGATGGCAAAAAAGGGAGAACCTCACTTATTTTAAACTACATGGAGTGCAATGATTTGATATGGAATATGATAGAAGACAATTCTAACACATTTTTCTTCAAGTATTACGCATTTTCATCTTTAGTTTTTTTCTTCATCCCGTCTACTGTGATCACAAAAATAACATCGTTGGCGGTCATAAAGACGAATATTTCATGGTTCGCTCACTGGAAATATTTGTTTGCAAAGTACAACTTGCCCTTCCTCATATCCTTAGACAACCTCTGTGACTGCCATAATCATTTTTCATTTCTTATTAATCAAATTAATAAACAACATCACGAAGAATGCCGGTCACGTGTCCAAGCATCTACGCATCTCACACTTTACAAGGAAATACAAATTTCTCCTGCATTGTACGACCTACATGAAGATAATTTTGACGGTCTTTGTCTCAATGAGTTGAGATGGCTATTTAAGCAAAGAAGTGAGGTTTTGCACTTAAACTCGGCTGTTTGGATCAGAGGGGAATTAGGGATTTGTTCTTTGGGTAATTCGCGCTCTATTGAAACTGTATCCAACTTCTTGGCGGAGTGCTCAAACCTGGGTGAGATTCGGTTGTTGCATCGCGGATGTTTCACTGTCCCCAGGGTTGACCTGTTACGGTTTTTGAGTGGCTCAAATTCGCGGCCCTTAATTCGATAAGCTAGGCATGCATGGAATTACAGATATGAATTAATTAATGAGTTTAATTTTTGATTTCTTTTTATAACCTGTTTTTTGTTCTCTTTTTCATTTTGGCAGTTGTTGTTTCTCCTTTTTTTTCTTTTTGTTGTGTAGGCCATAACTTTTATTTTATTGTGTATTTTTTCGTTTTTGACTGTTTAATCAACGACCTCTGGCAGACGGATCCATGGCCTTAAATGCTTTAAAATCTAAATTGTCTTTTTTCCTTTTTTTTATGTTTAATAAAGCATTATTATTATTATTATTACTGTGATCGCTCGATCCATCACATACATGATCACAATAAACAGCACCGAACGTATTAAGGTGTCTACGTAGGTCAGCAGTGTAAATGATGTATAGGGCGGGACCAAGAATGACCCCTTGTGGGACGCCGCCTTCTACCCGTCTGACTTTCGAGGACTCGTTTTCACCTTTAAGAAGTTCAGTTAGATCGGATTTCCGGACAAGGTAATAAGGAGTGGGTAGGAAGCGTTTAAGTTTATGAACCATGTCCGGTTGCCAGACCCTATTAAAAGCCTGTGCTTCATCTAGGAACTCTAGTAATATGCTTTGTTGTCATATTAAGACAGACCTTGCTGGATCGTGGAATGATGAGTACGGAAAGAGAATTGGTGAGAAGGAATGATTTTATGAGTATCTTGGTCGGTATGGAGAGCTTCAAAAGAAGACTTTCAAAAGTTTTGGTCATTTGTGATTTGTGAGATTTAGGAGTCAGAATAAATCGGAATATTTTCATAAGAGAGGAAAGTAGTGGTTCGTTGGATGGCTTAGGACGGTTACGAAAATTGTAGCCTTTTGTGGGAGGTTTCTAAGTATGGTGAATGTCTTTTTTTTTGGGGGGGGGTGGTATTTTCAACTTACATTTGTATTTTACTTAAAAAGGATGATATAAAATTATAAATTATTATTCTAGGTAAAACAGGGATAAAAAAATATGAATAGTTATTTTGTAACAAATATTTTATTCATCTGCAATGTCTTCAACTTGCCTATTAGGACTACAATGTTACATACATGAATATACATAAAGTGAAACGTTTATACCGTCTATCTATACATATTACACTGGGTTGTTCCAAAATATATATAAATAGGGAAGTGTTTTATACATATAAACTTTTTTATTGGATTTTTTTATTATTAAATTTAATTTTTTTTTGAAAAGGTGGACTGTACAGGATATAAGTGCCCTTTGTCAAGAAGTTAAAAGTGAAGGGTCATAAATACACCATTTTTAACGCAGGGCGCTCTGGGCTTTACGGCTGGCAGGTTGGACCGTTGACAATCAATGACAATTAACTTATGATGCACGCCAATTTTTTTGTCTACCGGAAATCAATCAACAAGCCATCAACAAAACAATGAAACAATCCAAACTTTCATAAATAATTTAACCATAATATAATACTGTAAATAACGTAATATATTATACATTTCCTAATATTTACAATTTTGACACATCTTTTAGTAATTATATATATATATTTATAATAGAAAATTCGTACCTAAATTCGTAATATCAATGAATCCTTAAAGCTCATTACAATGGAATATACAAGTCATTCGCAAAAACTTTCTATAATACAAATTACTACAAACACGAATATATATTTAAAATTTTTCGTACATATACATTTTCTTTTTAAATTTTTGGTGCTTGGAACAACCCAAATGGGACGTATAGTAACAAAATTCTAGGGCTTTATACAAAAACATTTTTTTTCTTCAATGTGGCGACGAAAACTTCAATTTTCTCAACACCTAAATTAATTAAATTTTAATTCACCTTGACTAGCCTCGTTCTCGAGTCCATTGCTTGGAACAAAAGCCGCCGAACAACGAGCTTGTAAATTTAATATTGCAACTTTTATGATTTAGAAATACGTACTTGGTTGTGTATTCGGCGGGGGGGAAAATTCGGGTGAAAATTTTCATGAATATTCAGACGCATTTTAACATGGAAGCGTGTTTGTTTAAAAAAAATTACTTTCCAGAAGTGGCCGCTCGATAATTGAAAACTCAAATTTTGATATGATTTAAACAGGATTTTGACGCGTTCGTTAACCCCTTTATTTAATAGAATTAATTATTGTAATCCACTATCGGGCAATTCTGATGGTTTCGGTACATTGCAAATATTATTGTTGTAATAAATCTGTAGTAAAAAAAATCGAGAATCTACCATTTTTCAACTAATTATGGACTATAATTATATATCGTATTTGCGTATTTCCTGTTAAAATATAGATCTGTAATATAATACTGTAAAAAAATATTCAATATTTCCGGCTATATCGTCAACTGAAGGCTGAGAGTCACAGAGGGTCGGAACCGCTTAGATTATAACTAGAGCCATGCTCTAAAAAGTATACGGCATTAGAGAAATAGCGAGGCCCCGACTCTATGGCACTATAGGCATTATTATTATATATTGTTTTGGGGGGTATATTTCATTAGTTATTGTTTATTAACACTACTCGCGATTTAACGGATCTGAACGAAGTGAGACTTGAGGAACGTAGAGAGTTCACGTGGAAAAAAGCTCAGAAACCATCTACCAATGAACTGATGAAAGACATCTTTTTCTTAAGTTAAATTTAATTACTTCAGATAATCAACTTCATAAAGATATGATAGTATTCTTGCATAATCAGGACATAACGGTCACAAAAGCAACAGAAAATTTAAATAAAGCAGAGGACGAGAAAGTGATGATGGAGAAGAATGTTAAAAAATAAAAGTTTAAGAATTAAGGAGTTCTTAAAACATGAAACATGTACAGGTTAAGGTGTTTTTCTCACTTCGTTCAGACGATAATTAAAGTTGAGAATTTCTTCATCATCTTAGGCAATAAAAGAGCACCATTTCCGTCGGGGTGAAAAATACGGCAAACAACAGAATCGAGCATACTAAAAATTAAACGAACAAAAAAAACTTATTTATATCACATATACATCCATACAATTTTCCCTCGTACTGTACATTCATGACATTTACATTAAAAACATTGTATTGTTCTTTTTTTTTTAAACGGTTATCACAAATAAACTAAAGAATCACAAGTAGTGTGGTCAGGCTCGGGGTGGCTCCGGTTTGGGCTCTTGTGATGATGAGGAGGATGGCGAAGTGATGGGGAAGGGTGATGAGGAAGCGGCGGCGGCGGCCGCAGCAGCCGCCACTACGGCCGCCATGGACTGCGAGCTGTGTGCGGCCATCCTCGTGTAGGAGTCGAGTAGGGCGGGTTCGTGGCCGTATAAGCCGCGGTACAGTTCGTGGTGGTGTCTCGGGTACGGCAGGGCGCTGCGGGCTGCGAGCGGCGATGGCATTTTGCCGCCTCCGCCGCTCCTGCTCTCTTCTTTGTTGGCCATGTCGGCCAGAGACCAGATCCGCGGCTTTGTGGCCGAAGGCGGCGTACCCTGGGGCGGCGACAAGAAGCGCGGGTAGCCGGGGGTCGGGTGCATAAACAGGCACTCGGGGCTGTCGGGTCTCGATTCGCTCCATTCGGAGCCGGTGTCGCCCGCCCCACCGCCGCCCCCGGCGTTGCCTCCCGACCTTTCGAACTCCAGCCGGTGGCTTCCCCTGTCGCCGTCCTCGCTCGACCCTGTTCCCGAGTCTTTGGAATCTGCAACAAAAAGGTTTAAACCATCGTTAATATATTACATCTTTTTACGCACCAAACAAGTAATTTAAAATTAAATGCCTATCAATATTACAAAAGATTGGATTAAAAAAAACATATTGTCTTGAAAATAACATAAAATCTTAAATTATAGAGTAATTTCAATGGTTTTTTAATAAAAATAATCGAACATCCAACGTCGTGCAACCCTTTAAAAGTCAACGCCATTTACAGCGTAATTTACAAGGGGAATTAACGATCTTTGTGTTAACCCTGTTAACTCTATTAGGTCCTGTTAGATCGAGAAAAATGATGGCGTCGACTTGTAAGAATCGACTAGTTAACATTGCTCCATCTAACAGGCCAGGGCCAATGTTAGATGTTAGGAGGAAAATGTAGTGACATTGTTATCCGTTAGGGCAGCCATGAATTTAACAGCTGTTTTTTGTTTACACGTATTTTTATTCTTAAATACGCATTAATTAAATCAAACCAATACATTTCTTTTGGTAATTTCTGACCCGTCCTTATGCTCTCATTCGTAGTGGATACATCCACCTATTCTATAAAGTAATAAGCTGTTAGGCGTTAGGATACAAGCTAGGTATGTCGGCTCGAATTGAAGCTTGTCATTTGTTAGTACTTTTTGAGTGCATAGATAGCATTTTGAATGAAAGAGTTGATTAATTTGCCTTTTTTACTAACTTCTGACAGCTTATAATCGAACACAAAATCATATCAGCAGGTCATCAGCAGACCTCAACGTACCATCTCAAAAAGGCAAAGTTACTTTAGCAAATGTTTCAATAGTAGGGGTATTCACAATCTTTGTGTTAACCCTGTTAACTCTGTTAGGTCGTGTTAGATCGAGAAAAATGATGACGTAGACTTGTAAGAATCGGCTCGTTAACATTCCTCGATCTAAAAGGCCAGGGCCAATGTTAGATGTTAGGTCGAAAATGTAGTCACATTGCTATCCGTTAGGGCGTAGGTAACCAACATGGCAGCCATGAATTTAACAGCTGTTTTTTGTTTAAACGTATTTTTATTCTTAAATAAGCATTAATTAAATAAGACCAATACATTTCCTTGGTTCATTTCTGACCTGTCCTTATACTCTCATTCATGGTAGATACATCCCCTATCCTATAAAGTAGTAGGATGTTAGGATACAAGTTTGGTATGTCGGCTTGAATTGAAGCATGCCATGTGTTAGTACTTTTCGAGTGCATAGATAGCATTTTGAATGAAAGAGTTGATTAATTTTCCTTTTATACTAACTCCTAGCACCTTACAATTTAACACAAAACCATAACAAACAACAAAAACCTTCAAGGACTGTTATAGCTTTATTTTTGGTTCTACCAGTCGCCACGCGCAGCATTAACGTTTAACATGCTAAGAAAAAAGGGGGCGTTCACGATCTTACTGGGCATTTCTCTATTCGAGTTAACCTCTAACAAATTTAATGAATAACCCTTGTATCTCGAAAATTTGTATATTAGGAAATAGAAAAACTTAAGTTAATCCATATTTGTTTAGTGGTCATATTAATTATTCCAATTAATTATTCTTTTCATCTAGTTTTGTTTGAGATGTATATGCTCTATCAAGAAATATAGGTTAAATAATAAAACTTTTATTGTCCTTTAATGGGAAGTAAGACTTTAGATTTTATTAGTGAATCCAAGCTCATTTCTCTTTAGACTCATATTATTTTCTAGTACAGCAATTCAATTTTTAAACGTTCTCACTTGTTCTTAACAACGGTTTGAATTTTATTTGTTCCCCTTCTGTCTTGCTTTTTTTTCTCTTTTACATGTTTATTTACACAATATTTGGATTTTTATGTAGTTAAATGTTACGTTCTAATTTTTTTGTATCTTTCTCTCTCTCTCTCTCTCTCTCTCTTTCTCTCTTGCTTTCTATATCTTTTATGTTTAAAAATCCTGAAATGCTGACGAGGGCGAGGGAGAGTGAAAATAGGAGAATAATATATTGTTAGGTCAACCTCCGGCTGACGGAATAGAGTAATTCCAAGCTGTAAATATACTTAGGAAATAAAGTATTATTATTATTAATAAAACTTAAAAAGTTATCCACATCTTTGAAAATCCGTACAATCAGCAAAGGTAAAAAGGCTGTTACAAGACAAAAGAAGTTCTAGGCCCCACTGGTCGGCAGCGCCCCCGCAGTGCGTCGGACTGTCTTCCGGCATTCAATTAACGCGTAGATAAGAAATAAAACTACGGCGGTCAGGGAAAAAATTCTCAAGCGATATAAAAAGCATACTCCGACAATAGAACGAATAATTTATTGAGTGCACGATATAATTGTCGTTTATGTTTTTTGGATGGAATATTTTTATTTAAGTAAAAACAAATTAAAAAAAACAAAGCAAGTCAATAATATAGTGCATTCATTGACTTGTTTATTTCATTAACGTGTTGACTGAAATGAGCTCCATCCTAGGAGACCGACGTCAAGTAGTTAGGTTGTCGCGAAGTCAATCTACGGTTCAGTCTCCAGTGTGGATTATTAGACAACGTGGTGGATGGCAGGTTTTTCAGGGTTCAGATAATTATAAGGATTAGTTTGTAATGGAACCTTTAGTAGAGGGGCTAGAAGGTTTGGAAGAGGAACATGTAGGTTGGTATGGATTCTATTAGAAATGTAGGGGCATTGACTATTGTTCTGAGGATTTTAGATTGAAGGGATCGATTAAGGTTGGAACGCTTTGTAGTCCATAAATATCAAGTACGTATGTCCAAATGGGGGTCAGCAGGTAAAGTTTTCATTTGTTTATCAGTGTGAATTTAGATCGTCGAGTAGTCGTTTTAACATAATAACCTGATGCTAGAGGCCAACATGTAATGGGGTGCCACGTCAGTTCAGAATTCAAGCAGTCAATAAATGGTTTATACACAAAAAAATCATTGCGTTGTTTCATTGTGGGAAAGTGTTAAAAAAAACAAAATATGAAGACTATACTTGTGTAAAAACAGAAACGGAAATTAACTTCCTACGAGTAATTAAGGTTTTTAGTTGAGATGAAAAATGGCAAAAAGGAGGGAAAATTAAAAAAAGGTGAGGTTGAGATGGGAAGTTAGTGTCCGAGTGGATCGAGGTCACGATAGCTCAAGTGGTAGAGCAGCGGCGTATCTAGCCGAAGATCGTGGGTTCGAATCCCGCTCGTGCCAGTGACTTTTTTTATCTCAACTAAAAACCTTAATTAATTGTAATCTATTAATTGGTCAAGCGGACCACGAAATTAGTGAATTTCTTCTTACGAGTGTTGTCACTGGTATTAAAGATTCAGTTATTTTATGCTTTAAAAGTTATGTTCGTAAAAATTTATGTTTTATATTTACTCATGTTCAATGGCATCTGTTATGTTAATTTTTAAAACAAAGAAATATTTCACTGAGAAATGATTAAGGTTCGTTTTTATTTATTCAATTAATGAAGGTTTTAAGTTGAGATAAAAAAGTCAGTGTCACGAGCGGGATTCGAACCCACGACCTTCGGCTACTCTACCACTTGAGCTATCGTGACTTCGATCCCCTCGGGCACTAACTTCCCATCTCAACTCCACCTTTTGAATTTTCCCTCCTTTTTGCCATGTTTTTATTTATATTATCACGAAATGAGGTTCAAATTGTTTTAAAGGTTAATGTTTCTATTTGCCATTGGAAAAGCAGACACCCTGGCCCAAGGGAAGTTCTACATCTATACGAACTCCAGAGGTGCCAGACACAATTTATGATTAACGAACCTCACCCAAATTGGTAAACACAACGATACAGTAAAACTCCCATGAGTGATAGCACTATTTATCTGTCTCTAGCATAAGGAAAAACATGCACACAACATGATATATTCAATTAGGATCCAATTTGTTCGAAAAAACTGCCTCCGATAATGTAATAATACCGGTCACTGGCATCTGAGACAATATCGGTTACTTCGATGATGGCCCCTTTAAGTTATGCAATGAGGAGGAAGAAACTGCCAACATCTTTGAATACGAAGCAACCGCTGAATAGAGTCATAGCCTAACATATCAAGAAGGCCCTGGAAAAACAATTGCATCAATCGGAGTCAAAGGCCTAATACTTCTTAAGAGAAGAATCGAGTTTCCATGAGAGAATGGAACCAAAAAAGGCAAAAAGAGAAGTGGATAAGCTCTAGCTAGACACAATAAGCTTATGTTAAAACAACCTTCACCAAGACTGGCAAACTCACTGCTACAGTTAGAGAGGGCTAAGCTCAAAGGCCTTATATGACTATATACCGGTCACTGCACATCAACAATGACCTCATTTGAAAGAAGAAACTGCCACCCATAATGTCTTCGAATACGAAGCAACTGCTGAATAGAGACTAACCGAATCAGGAAGACCCAGAGAAAGAATTGAGCCAATGACAATGACTTCTTCAGAGAACAAAACCTTCCTAGCATTCCATCATCTACATCATCATGTCTTGAGTTCGAATATCTATATTGACTTAGGGTTGTTTTAGATTTTTAGAACGAGATCCGATTGATTGGTTCACGGTGAATATTTCTGGATGGAAAACGTTATTTGTTGTATAAAAATAAATTATTCAGAAATCGTGAGATGCGGTCTGGTGTGATGTAGGTTTCACAAAAACAATTTCTTTATCGTGCCAACGTTTCGATCTTTATTGAGATCATCTTCAGGGCTCAAAGTGTTTGCCTTCTTGCCTTATGTGTAATTGTGCCAATCTTGCGGGTCGTGTTGAGAGCCTCAAAGAAGGCAAACACTTTGAGCCCTGAACATGATTTCAATAAAGATCGAAACGTTGGCACGATAAAGAAATTGTTTTTGTGAAACCTACATCACACCAGACCGCATCTCACGATTTCTAAATAAATATCGATTAACGGTCACTAATCATCAGACATATAAAAATAAAGTTAGGAAAAATAAAATCGATGCAAATCAATAAAAACACGGCTTTCGTTCCTCCTCTCAAATATACAATTTAAAAAGAAGGACTAGCTAATCCGATGAATTACATCCTTGCAAAAAAGAGTGTTCGTCATTCTAATAAATCTTAGTGCAGAGATCATCTCTTGGAAAAGGTGAATCAGGTTTTTGTAGGGACCGTGGGTTGGCTGAGAAAGTAAGAAAACGAAGCGCTTATGGCAAGTAAAAGTTAAAAGAAAAAAAATAGATGCAGATGTAGATACGACGATAAACTAATTAACCTATTTAAAATAATTATGTCCTTTATGGATGGGTCATCAGTAGGTAAGAGTACCATATCGATCAAGAAATGTTCTTAAGTATACGGCACTTTTGGAGGTAATCAATTGTTTTCTCGAGTTCCGATACATTTGCTATAATATTGATATATGAGATATATTAGTGTGGGCTAACGTAAAATATAGGGTTTCACGAACAAGGGGAGGAGCTCCCTATAAGTTTATAGGGGGTTGATTTTTTTCCAGTACGGCTCCATGGGAAAAGTGTCCTGGGGGAGGGCGAAGGGCCATTATAATTCCGTTATGGTTTCCCACTGACATCCACAATAACGTGATTAAAGGAAGCTTGATTTATTGACTCGATACCTCTTTTATTGTCAAAAGGGAAAAGGACGCCTGCGTTTAATTACGCATTATTGTCGGGTGTCGCGCTTCGACGCGTGTTTGCTTATTCGTGAGACGCGTGCCGAATTTGCATCGATTCCGAAAGGGCTTCTGTTTGCCCTTTGCCCGACTTAAAAGACAATTTTATTCATGGCTAACCTAACGCCACCCGCGTCAATATTTGCCTTCAATATATACACGCAATTCCGCCCACCCTTTGCCGAACCCTCTAAATCTCCGTCTCTCCTGTGTTATTGGACTTTGTTATTGTTAGACACACAGTTTACCCGGTATATCGAGTCCTTAAACAACATTTATGAATACTCAAACAGGTTGGTGTTTTTTCAGGAGGGAGAGTGCAGTTATGATGTATTCATCGGATCCTAAAATTCTCATTGACCTGACTGGAAAGCATAACAATCTAAGAATGGTGGAAAAATGACAAACAGGAGAGAAATATTGTACATAAACCAATCCGCTTTTAGAGGTAAGGCGAAATAATTACATATACCCAATATTATAAATAAACATAATTATATTAATACTTTATGGCTAATTTAGAAGGTCAACACAAGTTACGAAACTTTCGTTTCTCCTCTAGTACCATAATCCTTGCCTTTTTTATTTATTAAACGTTGGTGGCGTTATGTCTTCCTACCCTGAAACGAGATATGATCAGATGTTTGATTTTTTGAGAAAGGGGATTCAGTTTCAAGGGAGACGGTGGTAATTGAACCAACCATGGGTGTCTACGAGCCAAGAGTCTGGCACGGTAACCACTCGGCTAAGGTTAAATCTTCAAACAAACAAAAAGCTCTGGTACAAATTAAATATTATTTGGAGACCATGAGATGCGTTCTAGTGTTACACAAGTTTTACAAAAATATTTTCTTTAACGTGCCAACGTTTCGATCTTTATTGAGATCATCTTCAGGGCTCAAAGTGTTTGTATTCACATAAGAATGACAACACTTTGAGCCCTGAAGATGATCTGAATAAAGATCGAAACGTTGGCACGATAAAGAAAATGTTTTTCTAAAACCTACGTCACATCCACTGCATCTCACGATCTCCAAATAATCATCAACTAATGGTCACTAAACACCATACACAAATTAAAGAGCTAAAATGATAAATTTAAATCTATCATACACGGTGGTCTACGCGGTCCGTAGAAACTTACAAAGAGCTTGATAGATTTGTAGATAATGTATTTTTCCTGGCCTTTTTAAAACAATTCTTTATGCCAATTTGAATCCAACATGAAGATTTTTATAAAAACAAAGTGTTGATTGATAATAAAATGAAGCACTTGAAGTATGGCAAACGTTAAGGGAAAAATGTCGGCCTGTTTATGACCTTAAGCGACCAAGTCAACTATGCAATCTCTCTTAATATCTTCAATTCGTTACCCTTAGGCTTTTTAACACACCCAAAAGTTTGCTAAGTACTCCGGTATATACCTTCAAGCGTTTTTCCTCTCCGTAAGTGTCTGTCAGTCTTAGGCCAGGCACCAACAGAGGACATGTTCCGCGTTCTACTTCCTGGCAATATCTGCTCTGGGTACATACATTTCCCGAATCTGCCAGTGTTCAGTCAGTACTATTATTTTAGTCTTAGCATAGATTTAGTATATATAGGAACCTAGTAGTGCCGTCTTGTGATGGTCTTTTAATGTACAATTCGCATGGCTCTGACCTAGAATATGAACAAGAGGAATGATTCAAATCCATCGCCATTATTGTCACCTAGCTGTCCTAGAAAATGGCCTCTTGTTTCTGTTAGCCTTGTCTATTCATGTGGCTCTGAGTTCTGCAGTGTCAAGACAGCAGTACTTCTACTATTCGATTCCTAGTAGTTGTACCGTATTTTCTGCCAATAAATGAACACTCCATGCCTCTGGCCCGGTACTTAATCCATTTTGCAACTTGGTATGTCGCAAAAGGATTCAGGGCCTTAAGGTGTCCTTATCGGACATTCCTAATTAATCGACTTCCTCATTGTCCCTTCCCCTGAAAGCCTCGGGACCGAACCAACGGTAATTTTATTGTTGTGTTCAATGTCTGCCAGGGGCTTGATACAAATCGCATCGGTTTTGGTCGTTACTACCATTGAAGTAGTTGCCTCTATTGCCATCTGACTAACCGAGTACATGGCTGTCATATTCATAAGTTTGTTTCTGCTAGTTATAATCTATTCATATGCCTCTGGAATGTATAGTGTCCGTCAGCACTCCTAATTTCATTCTAACTTTAGGTTTAGTAGTACTGACGTTTGTTGTGTTTGTCCCTTGCAACTGCCTATGTTTTTGTCAATTAGGTTTGGCCAAAATAATTGTTCTGTTTTTCCATCGAAGATCTTCGAACTAGAATACATTCACGAATCTTTACAAATGGGCCTGACTGCCCAAACTAGTGATGGTCGACTCGCGTACCAACAGCCACCATTTTATTTGATGTATATTATTCAATTTATCAGAATCTAAGTCAAGAAAGATTTATTATTATTATAGGGAAGAACTCGTTAAATGGTACTCACCAATGTTGTCTTTGTTCTCGGCGCTCTTCCTGCCCGACCCGGCGTCTTCGTTGTTGTTGTCCTCGTCGTCGACTCTGTTCCTCGGCTCCCAGGTCATCTTGTTTTCTTTCTTGAGCCGGCGGCGAGCGTTGGCGAACCACGTCGAGACCTGTGTCAGTGTCATTTTTGTGATTATCGCTAACATGATCTTCTCTCCTTTGGTCGGGTAGGGGTTCTTCTTGTGCTCGTTGAGCCACGCCTTGAGAGTCGAGGTGGTCTCTCGCGTCGCGTTTTTCCGCCTAGCGCCGTTCAAGTCCATCCCGTAACTGCAAAAATACAATAATCTCTTTAGATTTTGAGTTTTTTAAATAAGGTAATAAGTTGTTTGTTAATAATTGTTTTTAAAGTTGAAAAAAATATGTTACAGTTTTAGCTGTACTGCATGAGAGATGACAGATTGATATCGAGAAAAAAAACAACGAAACGGATGTTCATACATTTAACATTTATTTAGAAAATGCATACTCGTATTTTATCTCAGTGAGGTTAAAAAAAAGATAGATGGTGAAGTAGAATCGTTAGCTTGTTCCGATCATTTTTGGTCAACCTAGTCTTCAAGTTTTGACCTGTGACACAACATCGTTGTGCTTTTCGATAAAGGTTCATTTTTTGAAGTTTTCAGTACCAAAATTAAAGCTATTTGTGTAAAAGGAAATAAACCTACCACTGATGACGATGGCCGAAATGAGTCTGCAGATCGAAAATAGGCAGAATAAATAAAATAAGAAGAAGCAGAGGCTGCGGGGTGATAAACCTTACATTATTACAGATCATTTTGCCATCCTCGTCATCTTCAGTGTGTCTTGATGATTAACTTCACAGAAACACACTCAATGCAGATAGCGATTGTCACATTTCAGTCCAGTGAAGAGGTTTAATCCTCAAGGTCCTCGCTGTGTTTGCTGTCCGTCACGTTTCGGCCTTGCACCATCTTCAGTGTTAGGTCTGTGTGATTTACGTTAAGTCAAGTTTATTTTGTAAGGTCGTGAAGGTCCGCGTGCCGGCAGTGTTTTAGTATAAATTAGGCGTGACTTCACAGAAATCACCCAGATACAGCTAATTCCGGGCGAGGATAGGCGGATCAAAACGGTAACGTGCAAAGTTACAAAATCAGAAACGGCCAATCTAAACAAAAAGCTCGTGTAATTTGGTAGTTTTCAATCATTTTGGCATGTAATTTTTCGTTGTTTTGGTTTCAGATTTCATTGGTGGATTTGGACGTATTTTTCCAAAACAGGGAGATAGACCAAACTACAAGTTTCTCACCATACGCACGCACACTTTTTCAATATCTAACAATCAGACAAGAAATTTTAATTAAAAATACTGACAGCTCATTCAATCTGAACTGATCCGGTTGTTTTTCAAATAATCCCATCCCTCCCCTATTGAAATAGATAAGGTTTCTTGAACCCCGATTTGAAAAACTAAATAAAAATGTAAATTTGAGATAATCTTAGATCTAATTTGTAAAAAGGGATCAGTTAAAGTCGGAGAGCAAAAGTAAGAATGGTTCTGTATATTTTATGCCGAAATTGAGATGTCATTTATGCAGTTCCCATTAAGAAAGGTATTAAAGAGTTTTATTTTTAAATCCGGTTTAGATCTGGGCGGAATGCGGCTTAATTTAAATATATCTTTCCAATAAATAATTGGAAGCTTTAGCCCGAAGAGATTGCTTATTCAATTACTGGGTCGAGGGATGAATTATAAAGCGGAAGGCATTAGAGGGGCCGGGAGGCGAGAGGGTCTGAAGACCCTATTACACAGATCTTCCAGTAAAACAGGCTGGAACCTCGGTGGGAGGGAAAAAGTATAATTTGAATCGAGTCAGCAATCTCGAGCAAGCAGCAGGAAGATAAGTGAGGATTTTTTTCCCCCCTCCCGCCCCCTTTATATTATACTGTAATAGAGGATTTTAGCGGGTCTCATTGGGTTTACGAGCGTGGCCAATTCCCCGCGTGCGCGTCGCTCCGTAAATAAACGGCCTGCACAAATATTTGACTGCTCGAGACAACCGAGAAAATCCGAAACATATAGTCTTCCGCACCCTCTTTTATCTTCGCCCACTGGGATTCGTTCCTGGCAAATCGAACAACAAGCGTGCGTAAAACGAATGTTTACTACTTGTTTCGAATCGAAATGGTAAAACTGTGTTCAACGCTCATTTCGAAAATGACAACCGGAAAATACAAAAATATACACACATTCATACAAGAGTTGTATTGATCGTTTAAAGAGACCTTTCTAAAATTTCATTTACTAAAAGTGCTAGCATGTTATACAGAGTCTATGTAATTAATTGATTAATTGATGTGATTAATTGATCTTTCTTTTAAATGCTAAAAATAAATAAAAAGGCAGAATTAGCATTAATGGATTAAAATTTAACCACGGCCTTTTAGATCAATTAGTCAAAAATACAACCAAATATAATTGACTAACTGTTGATCCTTCATTTTTCAATACGTTTCAATTTTTTCATTTTTCAATTCAATATGAATCAATACGTTTCTTCCATTCTTTTTATTTTGTTAATATTTAACCTTATTTTACTACTTTTTTAACTTTTCCTACCTTTGTTTTGTCAAATTTGACCATCATTTTGAACTTTTCTTCTTCGACCTTTCTGATTATTTGATTAAATTTATCATGTCTTGACTATATTTTAGCCCTTTCTTTCTCAATTTAATTGGTTTCTCCCTGCCTGATTATTTTGTCAAAATTGAACTGCTTTCACCACCTTTTTGTTCAGCCTAACTTTTTTCTTCCTTTCAAATTATTTTGTTCAATTTAATATGTTTTGTTAATTTAATTTGTTTCTTTCCTTTTTAATTATTTTGTCAAATTTAACTTGATTTGACCACCGTTTTGAACTTTTCTTCTTCGATCTTTCTGATTATCTTATTAAATTTACCATGTTTTGACCATATTTTTAGCCCTCTTTTTCTCAATTTAATTTGTTTCTTCCTACCTGATTATTTTGTCAAAATTAAACTGCTTTCACCACCTTTTTGTTCACCCTAACTTGTTTCTTCCTTTCAAATTATTTTGTTCAATTTAACCTGATTTATTAATTTAATTTGTTTCTTTCATTTCTAATTATTTTGCCAAATTTAACTTGATTTAACCATCCTTTTGAACCCGATGTTTTTCCTCCTTTCTCAATATTTTGTCAAAGTTGACGTTTGACCACTTTGTTGTTTTCTTTCCCATATTAAATTGTTTCTTCCTGTTTGATTATATCACCAAATTTAACCTCATTTTGCCCTGTTTTGATTCTTCGTTTGTCAATCTGCTTCTTCCATACCGATTACTTGAGTAAAAGGCGTTAAGTTTTTGCTTAACTTGCTTTTTTTTCTGCTTTTGTCAAATTAGACCTCGTTTGATGATGTTTTTATCCTCCATTTCCATTTAACCTCATTTGACGGCCATTTTGATTATTATCAAAAATTTAACCTGAATTGACCAACATTTGAACCTTCTTTTTTCAACATGTTTCTTCCATTATAATTATTTTGTCAAATTTAGGCAGATTTGACCTCCTTTTTGATCATTACTTTTTCAACCTGTCTAATTATTTTGTCAAAGATAACAAGGTTCGACCACTTTTTTATGTGTTATTTCCCATATTAACTTTTTCTTTCTTCTTAACTATATTTTCTAATTTATTAACCAGATTTGACCTCCGTTTATTTTTTCCTTTCTCAAAAGATCTGAATATTTTGTCAAAATTAATCAGATTTTACCACTTTTTTGATGTTTTCTTTCTCATTTTAACTTGTTCCTTACTGTCTGTTTATATTGTCAAATTTAACCAGATTTTAACATTTCTTTTATTGCTCTTTTCTCCATCTAACAGATTCTTCTTTACCGATTATTTGGTCAAAAGACAGTTATTGTTTTATCGTAACTGTTTTTTTCTTCTAATTTTCGTTTGTTTATTCCTTTCTCAACCGGTCTGAATATTTTGTCAAAATTAATTAGATTTGACCACTTTTTTCATGTTTTCTTTCTCATATTAACTTGTTTCTTATTGTCTGTGTATATTATTTATTTTTTATCAATTTTATCAATTGTTCTATCAATCAACTGTTCTTTTTTTCTGTCAAATTAAACCTGATTTGACCACGTATCTTTTTGTCAACATAGCTTGTTTCTTCCTTTCTGATCATTTTGTCAACTTTAAGGTGAATTGACCTCCTTTTTTATGTGCTATTTTTTTCTCATATCGTGTCTTCCTTTCTATATATTTTGCCCAATTTAACTTGATTTAACTTTTTAATTGTTCCTTTCTAGCTTCTTCCTCCAATTGTGATTATTTTGTCAACTCAATCAATGACATGATTTGACCAATATTTTTTATCAATGTGGGTGATTAGTGACCGTTCAGCGATAATCATTCAGAAATCGTGAGATGCGGTCTGGTGTGATGTAAGTTTCAGAAAAACATTTTCTTTATCGTGCCAACGTTTCGATCTTTATTGAGATCATCTTCAGGGCCTGGGATTTACAAACATTGTTTAAATTTAACAAATACATGAAGGATTTTTTATCAATGTAACTTCTTTCTTCCTTGTTTATCATTTTATCCAATTTATCCTGATTTATTATTATTCTTCTTTTCTCAATCTTGCTTTCTTCTCATTTTATGAACTCAATCGATAACATTATTTAATCACCTTTTTAATTAGTCTAACTTGTTTTTTCCTTTCTGATAATTTTGTAAATATTTACCTTTTTTGATCCTGGCTTTTTACCCGTCTAAGTTAGATTTTTGATCAATTCCGTTTTAACTGTTTTTTTTTAATTTTCCATTTAAAATATCATAATAAAGTCATTCTTGCTTATGATTTTGTATGAATTCAATTTTATGGATTTGCCTGTTACTAGCCGTACTCGACAATGTGAGTCAAGACAATACACTCGTGCCCAAAGGGCTCCCCTCCTCGTCAACATCAGTGGGGTGGGTTAAACGCCATCTTACTTTTTCTCGTTTATCAGGGGCAGTCGTTGTGCCGGGATTGACTCGGGATTTACATAGAGCAGCACGTCCAATTACCCGGAGAACCGCGTCCACAGCACGGGCAATTACCGGAGTGAGCACGACCGACGTGCGTGCCCCCAGTAAAAAATCATAAATAACAAGGCTGACGATGCGAATTTTACCGTTGGGAACAAGTTCGGACGGCGGAGGGTGCACCGCATATCGGCCGGTATGGGGCGAGCGTTGAAATCTCTCAAACGACATGATCCACCGTCCACG